AAAAACCTCACATGCTTCGAAAGAACAATAAGGTGCTGTCATTGTCCTTGGGTTTGGTCGTTGTTTGCCCTACTGTTGCAACCTTGTTTTGGCTCATTTGTGCGTCCGTGGTTGACTACAAACTGAAGGAGCTCGTATGCCCAAGGCTGAGGTAGACTCACGCTGTTGTTCTTGAAATGCTCAGAGAGAAAAACTCCTGTAACAAACTCTTTGAATTCTGTTGCCTATTCTTCAAAATCACTGTGTTCGATCGGATCGGATATTTGTATTCAGAGTACAGCTGGACAGTTTGTGTGCTCTCCGATGGGTACGGGAAAAAAGAAGTCAGGCATGAGAAACTGCAGAGGATTTCAAAGGTGGATCCTTGTCGAAAAAACGGCTAAGGATAGGAATTTAGGCATGTGAGAAGAAAAGACAGAATCGGAGATATGAGTGCAAAATGAAAGGATAAAAAATAAAAGCCAGAAACTGTTTTAAGGACAAAAACAAGCAGTAGGATCACTTTTGGCTGACAACTTAATATTGGTGGGAGAATCCCAAATGCTGGCTCCCTTGAGCACAACACAGTCTCTCACAGGCCTGGATAGGCATCATTTGGCTTGGCTTCGTGGCATTTACTATGTCGAATCTGACAAACACACACTGCAAATAAGCCGTGAAGAAAATGAACCAATCTGCAGAAATTCCCCTCACTCTCTATCAGTGGAACAAATTCAGCGTCAGTGTGAGAGGAGATGTCATACTCTATCGCACTGGGCATCAAACGCACCCTGGAGTTGCACGCGCGTAAATAAGCGTAAGACATGACATGCTTCTTGTGGGGAACATCTTGGCTTAGTAATGCGCTCTTTCTCTCTCTCATGTCTTGCGAGAGTTCTATGTAAGCCCCGTTAGATTTAAATGGCACCCTGCTGTGCAATCCAGCGGTGCACGTATACGTCTCCAATGTGGGGAGCAGGAGTTGCACATAGTATAGCAGCAATGTTGTGTTTGTTTGCTGTGCGTACATGTTTGAATATGTGTACGTTATGTATCCATATACTGTATGCCAGATTTCATAAGTATAAGAAAAGAGCAAAACTTAAAAACAAAACCCTCAACAGTAAGAAATGCTCCAAAACGTGATGATTTCTTTTGTTTCTTTAGGTGTTTATGGACAAATGAGTATTAATAAACACAATAGAAAGGCATGATTACTTTAAGTTAATATTAACTTAATATTATAGATTAAATTAAGTTGACTTTACCTAGAAACTTAAGCAAACTCGTCTCATCTTTAAAGGATTTACGCAAACTTGTGCACGACTTAAAGATACGACACATGAACTTATAATCAAAGCAACATTACATGGTAGTTCAGCAAATTAGTAGTAGTTAAAGTAATTTAACTATGTCACTATTAATACCCTAGATTTTTCATGGTATTTACAGTCATGTGCAGTCCAAGGTGCAATGCTCAGAGAAACTGCAAAAAACCAAGAGCTACGTTCAACTTCATGACAGTATATTGAGAAAAAGGCTGGACAAGTAGGCTGGTTTGGAAGGGTTGCCAGGAGAAAGCCTATTCTCTAAAAAGAACATGGCAGCACTTAGATTTGCAAAGTTGGATCTGATCAAAACACAAGACCCTACATTGCAGCATAGGACCTGGACCAAATACACAGATCTGACTATGAACTCCTGTGTATATCAAAGTATTCGAGGACCAAATGTAAGGACATCTGTCTGACAGCTAACGCTTGATAAAAGTGGATCATGCAACAGGACAACTGTCTCAGCAGCAAATCTACAACAGAATGGCCAAAAAAAGAGGAACAAATCAAGGTACTACAGAGGTCCACCCAAAGTCCAGACCACAACCCGATTGAAATGCTGTGGCAGGACCTTAAGAAAGCTGTGAATAAGTAATGCCTGCAAACCTCAATCAAACAAAGGGCCAAAATTCCTCCACAACAATGTGAGAGGCTGATAACGTTGTATATAAACAATAAATTCAAGTTACTGCTGCCAAAGTTGGTTCTGCAAGCTACTGAATCATGCCATGTAGCTTCCTGCATGCTTTGACGGATGGACGGATGAATGGATGATGCAGCACGGGCAGATGGACCATGGATGGACAGATGGATGGATGGATGGAGCATGGATGGGAAAATGGATGGATTGATGCATGGGATGGATGACTTCTTGACTTCGTGGCTCAAGAGTTGGGAGTTCGCCTTGTATCGCGAAGGTTGCCGGTTCGAGCCCCGGCTTGGACAGTCTCGGTCGTTGTGTCCTTGGGCAAGACACTTCACCCGTTGCCTACTGGTGGTGGTCAGAGGGCCCGGTGGCGCCAGTGTCCGGCAGCCTCGCCTCTGTCAGTGCGCCCCAGGGTGGCTGTGGCTACAATGTAGCTTGCCATCACCAGTGTGTGAATGAGTGGTAGTGTAAAGCGCTATACAAATACAGGCCATTTAAATATTGCTTTAATAAAGTGTATTGAATAATTATGAACTTTCGGTAACCAGTGGTAAGGCAAAAAAAGTGAAAACCAAATAAATCCCATAACGGTGGTGGGGGTTTGAGCTACAGTGAACTTTTAAAAACTTTCAGAAGTGCTCTATTCACTATTTATTTTTTGTGATTTCTTTTTCAGTGAAAATGCCAGAATAAACGTATAAACTCTGAAGCTTCTGAAGATTAACAGTTGTGTACATTGTTATGTTTCTCCAAGCTGGATGTCCTTGTTTCTTCGGTTAACTCTGATCACAAGTGACTCCTAATCTGTGGTCCTGTATGAGCAGGCACATCACATCAGACTTTTGAAGCCTTGCGCAGGTCTCTGAGTGTTGGTGTGTCATTCATCACTACAGTCCAAGACCGAAATATCACAGCAGCTGCAGACTCTAAAGCCCTTTTCATCAGTCTGTCATTCAGATTTATCTTATTTTTACGTTAACAATTCTCAAAGCCTCATTCAGACATACCCACACTGATGGAGAGCCACAGTGCCATAGGTGCAAAACAGCTGTTCTATCCCCCAATTCCACACATGCTTATTAGAAAGGGAGTCCTCTCACTTTTAAACTACCAATACCAAAAATTTACAAATTTACAGTGCTGCTGGCAAATAAGTAACTTTGCCAGTTGGATAAGATGTGCATGTTAATGCAAGATTAGTAATAATACAAGCCTCATTGCTGTTTATGGCATTTTGGTGGGTTGAGAGACTCACAAAGACACACAAGAGTCATCTATCACTGGAATCTCGTGTGTATCAATTAATGAGACGTTAATTGTGAAGTCCTGAAACTGATGTAAATGCCAACAGTGACCTACACGGCTCATTCAAACATGTAATTAACATATTTAGATGCAGTCAGATTCTTTCATGGTAACGTGCACTAGTTTGAAATGGGCTTTAGTGTCTCTTCCTCCATCCACACATAGCAAACAGATCAGCAGCAAAATTTGCCTAATTTACAGCAGACTGTTCTTGTGAACCTTTATCTAACGTCTATCTATAAATCCTCATAAGTACAACTTCCAGCACGTAGGGTAACCCAACAGCTCATCGGATGTTTAGGGAAATGTAGGATACTGTGCTTTTGTGCTGGTTAAGAGATGCAATTAGTAAACAGTGTGTTGTTTCTTCCATGAGACAGCCCATATACCTGAAATATGTTTCTCTCTGAATCTGCTTCTCTTTTTTTCTTTTGATGATACTATTTTGAGGTTCAACTCTGTTGTCAAGCAAAAGAAGAAGAAAAAAAACCTTCAGAAGATAAAGCTCTGAAGCAACAAAGTGCTCTAATTGCTGTATTGGCTATGACAGCCTCGTTCTTTTCTTTCATCACCAACACACTCCATCAACCTTTTCTCTGTCCTCCTGCAGTGCACTCATCTCTCCTCTTCAACATTTTGTCCTGTGACAGTAGCGAAAAATGGCCGACCTTACCTGGATTCACCCCTCCCTGCCTCCCCATTATTTCTCTTTTTGTCCATCGCAAACAGACACATCTAATTATTTTGCGATGTGCCCATTTTTTTCCCCTCTGCATCTTCCACTCGAACCACTCTGAACACTGGAGGTCACATATTTAAATAGTTTCTCTTCCCATCCGCAATGAGCACAAAAAGACATAAAACCAGAGTTATTTATTATGATATAAAACACGCAGTTTCGGGAAAATGAAACCTTGGAAGATGGACGATATTGAATTTTTCAAGATGGTGCTCGGTTCGAGCCATTGTCTTCCCCCTCTCCCTCGGTCTCTCTGGGGACCCGGCACTGTTACGTGTTGCATTTAAGCACACAGGTCAATAAAGGTAATTGATAAGCTCTAGGATGTATTGTGATAAATGAAGGATATCTCTGGTGCAATAAATCAAACTACCTCTCAGGCTATAAATGGACAATTGTATGCCCCTGCCTAATGGGAATAAGCATAAACTCATCTCCGTATAACAGACAGACATCTATAGAGCTGTATTATTGGGCCATCACTTACACTTTATGAGCACCTCAGATACTGAGGCAGGGCCAGTGCAGCATCTCGGAAGGCCAGTTTATAGATTATTGGCAAGTCCATCGATCTGTCCGAAGAAGCCTTGGAATCACTTTTTCAACTGAGACGGGCAGAGCTGACAAGTGCCTTATACGGCTAAAAATTAAACGTAACGTAAGATGCTTGAATTTGTCTTCCTATTAAATAATACCAAGAAACTTACATTCCAGACTCATGAGTTATTTAATATTGCTTTATGGCAGTTTACTTGATATTCTCCCCATCAAAGGGTAAACTTCTTCTACAGGCACTAGTGAACACATGAAAAACTGCTGCCCTCTAGTGGTCGCAAGCTGAAATGATCTTTATCCATTTTTATTTTGAACATAACAAAACAATGACGCACATTACTGTCACAAAACCGTCACACTCACATACACACTCGCAGTTATAACATTTTAAATTTGAACAATAAAAATTTTTTTTATATAAAAAACACACAGCAGTGCAAAAACTATTTAAAACAAACAAACAAATACTTTGGCATCAGGAAAGAGCTCACAGCTTATTTGCACAGTCACCAGAATTATTTCAGCACAACTATATGCTAATATATATTTAGACAGCTATTTCACCCCATTTTTAAACTCACATTTCCATCATGTGTATACTGACACACGCTTTCAGTACATTGTACGCATTTATTTTTTTTCCATGGTCCTTTCTCATAAATAACTGCTGAGTGGTTTCTGGAAGCTGAACAAAAAAAAAGAAAAGTGGTCCAGTGCATGTGCCTCTCCAACTGAGCGCTGCAGAAAGCCTTTTTGTCCAGTTTTGATGAGATTATTTTCTCTTGTGGCTCACAAGGTTCAAAATAAATTCTCCAATATGGAATAAAAAAAAAAAATCTTCTGTTCTCAATTTTAAAAATTCATGAAAGGAAAAAAAAAAAGCGAAGTCCTTGTTTCAATCTGCGGCCAAGATCAGAGCTTTGTTACAAGCCCGTCTGGCCTGTTCTACATTGTAGTCCATTTTAGAGCTTTTGCGTCACTCTTGGTGGTTTACAAGAGCTGAGCAGTCATTAGTCTCAGTCTAAGACTAGCCCAGCTGCCTCAACTGAAGCAGCTGATGACAAAGTTTCACTCATTAGAGTCCGTGTCCCGTCATTGTCCTTCAGGTTCGTCACCGCTCCCGAGTTTTCCTGTTGATCTTTGCCACACTGTTCCTCAGTCTCTTCGTAAAGAGTGAGTGTGATTTACCACAATAAGTGTGTGTCGTTTTTAACAGTTCCTCTTCTAAAGGCTCCACCAAAGACGTCACAGGGTCTGTGCCGAAAATGTACTGCAACGACAAAACAGGCCTTTCGTTAAGTCTGGCTTTGTGTTTTCAGCTTAACTTTGAGTTAAATTCCAAAGCTTTAATCTGTTTCAGCTTGGACCACGACAAAGAAAAGACGCGTGATATTTCAATCTGCAGTCTGTTCTGTATTCTATGACCTCTCTGCCTGTCCAATCCAATATATGGAAAGCATAAAGCGAGGAGCGCAAACCTCCCTGCATATACAGAAAGCCAGAGGAGGAACGCATGTTTCATTTAATTTCTCCCTCTTGAACAAAAGCCTAAAGAACATAAAAAACACTAAAAACTAAAGAACACTCTCTTTGTGTGAATCAAAGCTCAATATCAAATTTGGCATTTCACATGTAATGGAGACCTTTGTGTCCAACACGCAGGCAAAATAACTTACACTATCCCATTTCTGTTTCTTAAGTATGCTAGTGTCCTTATGGCTCTGCAGTTGGCTCAGAAACGTGAAACGAGAAGCAGCAGAACTGATCAGATTTCCCAAGTAAGTAAGCGAGCAAAGTGGTGTGCTGAGCTGAATTTGTGCTCAGAAGATGTGTTTCCTTAGACACATTAAAAACTAAATCAGCTTCAATCATGAGGGACTCCAAATCTGATTGGTCAGCCAGGCTTGCACATAAACCGCTGGGTGTTGATGGGGGTCAGTTTTATGCTATAGGCTTACAATCCAGTAACAGCCAGGGATTAGAGGAAGAATTTCATGTCTTCCCAATAATGAAGGGCCCTTTACAATACTCTGAGGAAATCAATGGGGAATTACCATTTTTTTATGCCAGCTCATTTACTTGCAGTTGGGTCTGATATTCGGTCACAAAGAGCAAGAGGTTTTTATGAGCGCATACTTATACACACCCGCTGCTCATAAAGTTGCATTTACAGTTGGGTGTATTGATTTTGTGCGGCTGATGGGGCGCTGCTGGTGCGCACACTCCAACTCTAAAAGTGCCACCAGCTGTAAAAATTTAACTGCTGCTTCCTGGGCGCAGCTTTTTTTTGCAGCGGCGGGAGGGAGGAGATGCTTTACGACAGACAGGCCGATGTGCTGTGTTGGAGGCAGGGGAGGGGCCGTACCCTCGCTTCTTTGTGTGTGGATGCAGAGCATGGACATTGACTTACACACACCGTCTCCGGTTTATTGGGAATATTAACTGCTAGAATAAAGATCCTGGTTAAAATATTAACCAAAAAAAAAAGGGGGAAAGAAGTAAATCATTCGTTTTAGCATTAGCACAAATGATGCATTCAGGAGCCTTTGTCCTGCTGTGTAGCTGCTTATATATACACGAGTTGCATAACCCAGTGGTTCCTGGGCACAAAATGTGAGAGATGAAAATTGGTCTATTGTAGTAGTCCTGCAGTCATCTCACAATGTGACTGCTGTTATTATTGTCTACGTCTACAAACTCACTCATATTTAGAGGGTATGACGTACGCTCTCATTCTTGCTGCTCCTTCTGAGCCACAGTTTGTCTTGTAAATAACATCCTGAAATTTCAAAGTAAAGGCACCGTCAGAACCTGCCTTTTCTCACCGTTTCCCTAGCGATCATCACTGTGCCTCAGCCCCAAGTCACCTGACTGCACACCTGCTCTGTATTAGTATTCATTCATCACGTGCTGTTCAACCAGAAAAGCTTCTCCAACAGCTCAGGGGAGTGTGGCACTTCCACTGTGGAGGTTTTGATAAGAAATTTGATAAAAGCTGCCTTGACTGGGGTCGTCTGTCCCTGACATCACCGTCCATCAGCACAACCCTGCAGGGATAACGCTGCGCTTCTGCTTTCACAACAGTGACTGTGACAATACATACTTGCATACATTTCTTGGTATATGCACATGGTACTGTCCTGCTACTATGAAGTGTAGCTGTACAACAAGCTCAAAGCATGAAATGTTTTTTCAGGAACTACTAAACGCACACAAGACTAATCCATACTCTTGCATCCTTCTGGCAAACCAGACTTAAATCTATAAAAGTATTGTGCAGAATGAGTGGGTGTCTCCACCTGCACATACAGTGCTGGTTAATGTGTCTACTGCCATAATTGATCCTGTCCTGGAAAGCCACAGTCTTAACTGCAGGCCAAGGATAAGGTATAGATAAGGCATTACGCTGATCTATGTTCAATAGGAAAGCAATGAGGCTCCCAGTGTTGATGGCTTCATTAAGTAAATGCCACTCATGTCGTCAATATCATTACACTGCTGGTAAGCAACCCATAAACATCCTCGTGGGAGAAATTAGCTTTCCTCCAACCTTCTGCCAGTGGTGGAGATTTGTGTCTTCCAATGCAGACAATCTGAAGTCACCAGCACTTTTAGTCTTTAGGGTCAACACCAATCTGAAATCTCATCAAGGAGAGGAACAAATCAGGGCACGAGGTGTGTCTCTGGGTTCAGAGGGGCTATAAAAGGGCTTTCCATCAGACGTTGCGCTAAATTGCAGCTACAATACGTTGAAAAGGTTCAACAAGTCACTTTTTAAAGCTGGGACACTTTGAAATTAGCTTTTTGCTGCTTTTCATTCCGTCATATGAATGTAAACTTATCCATTTGTCTTCCACTAACAATATCTGTCTTTCGTATTTTTACACACCTCTGTTGCTTGTGAAGCTCGCACACAAGAATTTCACTCGCATGTACTGTACCAGTGTACCTGCACATGTGATGTGACAATAAAAGTGATTTGATTTTGATTTAAAAAGTATATAATCACTGTGTGTTGTTAAAACCCCTAAAACCATACACACACACACACACACACACACACACACGACTGTCTTTTGCCGCTTCTGTTTCTAGACCCTTTCACGTCTGTCATGTGTGTTCAGGGTGAACATGCTCTCATCTGTGAAATGCACAGGTCGGCAGTGGTGGACCTGCTAATCCCGGTATTCTATGGCAAATGGCACGGCACCGACAGACCAGGCTCATGTTGTTTGGTCAGAGACATTTACATTTTGCAGCTCTAGCAGTGCTTATCCCGCTCCTCCTTGCACAAAACAGCAGATACTGGTCCTGTTGATTGATTGATTAAGGGCCTTCTACGGCCCAGTTCATCTCTCCTAGAGTAACCGCCTGTCTCCTAGAATCTTCTCTATGCTCTTGAGAGAGTGCTGCAAGACACAGCAAACCCTCTGGCAAAGGCACCTATTGATGTGCCTTTCTGGAAGAACTGGAATACCTGTGCAACGTCTGTAGGGTCTAGGTATCACCTCAAGCTAGCAGCAGTGACACTGATACTAGCCAAACACAAAACAAGTGAAAGAATATTCAGAAAGGATAAGGAAGGAAAATTATCAGCAGCCTCCACCTGTGAAACCATTTCTTTTCATGGTTGTCTCATTGTTGCTCCTTTTTCATTAACACAAAGCAGTTGAAACTGATTTGCGTTAATGAAAAAGGAGCAACCGACCCCCTCTACTTAACTGACCAGATCAATATCCAGAAGTTTCACTGACATGCTGGTACACTCACATATTTATACCATACCACGATTGTTCCTTTAATTTTTCTGAGCAGCATAAATATCCCAGTAACACTCACATAATCCAAAAACACACCATGGCATGCTGACCTTTTTTATGGCTTCGTAAACAGCCCTGAAAGTAGGCTGTTTGTAGTCGTGGTAAACTCCTCTGTTTCCATGGAGTATGTAGATGCCATCCTCCTCAGCTGAGGCACAGTTGCTGCCATAGATGCAGTGATCCGGGCGATAGTTCCACTGGCACGGAAACTCCAGCAAGGACTCTGCAGACAGAAGCAGATGACAAAGGAGGCACAAACTTGGTATTCTGTACACTTTTACAGATACGATATGCTGTGAATTAGTAACTTAGTGTGTGTCTAAATGCGTGCAGTCATACCAGGGTTATAGTGGAAAATGATATTTAGTAGGTCCTGGTCTCCCCATGTTATGTTCAGTTTATATTTCTGGAGTAGAGGCATCAGGAGCTCTTCCCAGCGCAGCCCCACTGATGTCATGTCATTCTGTCAACACAGACAAGCACACACACACACACACACACACAACACGATTATATTTACAGTTTTGGTGCAGGGAGGTTCGCACTGGCACTTTCATGGACTTGAGTGCAAATCCACTAGAGAAGGAGGACATCTTGTGGTCACGAAAGGTAATACACCGATACAACCTCACCTTAAAGAACATGCTCCTCATACGTGTCAGATTCATGAGCATGACCCCTGAGTTGATGCCCGTCCTGCCGTAGAACGGGTGACGGGCAAAGCGATTGTACCAGGCGATGCGGGGCTCCTCGTGCTCTGGAGCCATAGCAGCCAGCTGAGAAGAATTAAAGTCAGACAGGAACCTCCACAAGAGGTCCACCGGCTGCAGGAAGAGGATGTCTGAGTCCACATACACAATAGAGTCAACGTCCTCTAAGATGAGCTGGGAAAGGACAAAAGACGGAATATTTGTGATGCTCATGTAAGTGCAGAAAAGCATACTTCACAGACTTGAAGTAATCCAAAATAAAAATCACTACGAATACATTTTTCAACTTCACTCTTCAGAATTAAAATAATATTACAGCTTACAGGTAAGAAGAGTCGCTGTGAAGCGCAGGGTTTGAAGAGTTTCTTCCACTCCGCTGCATTCTCATTGGGGAACCTGATGGAGTAGACTCTGTAGCTGAACCTGTAGCGAATAAAACCAGGCCACGACTCCAACTGGAACACAGATATGAATGCACTGGTTTTGCTACCTGAAGTAATGCACAATATGGCATTCGTAATCATCAGCACTCAACAGAAATGGCTACCAATGTTAGGTTTCATTGTTACGCTTCAAAAGCAAAGTTACCCACTCACAGCTTCAATGAAGCCGGCGTGAAGCTGATCGTCTGCAAAGATGTGCAGATGGAGGCGCTTGACGCTGAAGAGCACAGCAGACTTAATCATGGTGAGCGTCTCCTCCAGCCTCTCCCCGCAGGCCACCACAGCCAAGTGCATGGGAGGCTCAGGCCTGGTACCAGCAGCCTCCTGCTGAGCCTGCTGACGCATGATGTACCTGAGGGAGAAGACGTAATTGGAGGTGCGTTACACTCGGGCAGAGCCACACTCGAGATATTTTGGGCAAGATGATCTGAGTCCTATAACAGTAATAAACTTACCATATAGGAGGCAAGCTAGTATTTATTATATTCCTTTAGTGCAAAGGGTGGAGGATTTAGTGAGTGTGACTTGATCTCTCTAGAGCACTCACACTGTAGTTGTTTTAAGCCATGCCTGTATTTAACTGCACCCAGTAATTCTAATCGTGAATAAATCCCCAAAGTAGTCATTTGTCACTACGGTGAAGAACTGTCCCTTTCTTTCTCTTATGTGAAAGAAACTTTTAAATTCTGGACTAAAAAACGTGTTTCAAAATGTATTTTCTAACCCCCTTAATAGAAAATAAAATCCCCCCAAAAATTGTGCTTCAGGCTGGGATACTTAAACCACTACGCTGTACAACAGTATTTGGCGCCCTCTGCTGGATTAAATATGCAAAGACGCTATCTAAAACGTATCCTGAGCCTTTCCCCCCATTATTTTCTGGGAACAAGTAGAAATTGTGATTATTCAGATAAATCTGTGACAGAAAATATCAACACGTTATTCAGATGTTTAATCAATTTAGTATGAAGTACCCACTTTTCTCTTCCTTTACTCTGCCCAAACCTGAACACAGCCATGTGTGGACACCATGTTGATTTAAAGCAGCGTGATAAAAACACACATTTAGGCTACGTCAGATATTTTTGTACTAGCACATTTTTTAATTCATTTGCCAAAGATATGGCTGTGGGACACACAATGTGTGGTTTACACAGATCCTGCATCACTGACATATCTTTTATACATGAGACCTGCACGTTAAAGTGCAAACCTAAGCAGGTACTGTGCAGCATGTCTAAATATTTACTTGTTTAGCTTCCCTATGACCGACTAATCAGTCGCATTCCTGTTCATAGCCTTAGTGATTACACATGAGTACCGACGCATGCTTTCTGAGTTTTACAGCTTGTCCCGTGAAGCACAACTACAAGCTTTGTTTCGATTTATTAAAACATTGAAAATCCTACCAATTGATCGAGAGTGCGTTTTTATCCGTGACCCCTCGCCTGGCTCCAGACGCTCTCAGTGGGATGAGAATCTTCTTTGCTCCGTTTCTTCTGGCGGCCACGTCCGAGTAAAAGAGCCTGCTGTAAACATACAAGCCCGAAAACACGGCAAACACCATGCACAGCATCAGTGCACGCATGTACCGCCGCATTATACAGTTTCAAAACGCAACTCGGAGCTGAAATCATTACACAGAAACTAGCATTTAATCATAGACCGCTAAGCTAGACGCCGCGGTAACGCACTTCCGGCGGGGATTTACAAAATTAAACTCATTCCAGCACCAATTACGCCCTCTGGCGGTGGTTTGTTTTGTTTTTTCTTTGGGGGGGAGGGGGTGTTGTTGTTGTTTTTATACCTTTATTAAAGGTTTGTGGAGAACAGTCAAAAGTCTTACTTATCTGACTTTATGCTCATGTTAAGAAAATAAAATAAGAAGACAATATATGATTTGATGTATATAGCAAGACTTTTTATTATTTATTCTGACTCAGTATAATACTATTATTAAAATTAAAAATTCTGAGTATATTATATATATGCCGTTCTGATCCTTTTATTTATTTACTGGATACTGTATGTATAAGGATTTATCTGATCTAACCTGCGTAATTTTTTTTTTTACAGTACACTTAGAAAAATGTGGAAATAGGTAACTTCAGAGCCATCTTGACGAACACAAAGAACAATTCAGAGCACAGTTTCTCTTTATGTCCAACAAAATGACATTCTTCAACTTGGACACAGTAGCTTATTGTCAGAATCTTGCTTAACTAAAAAGGCAATCAATATTTTTATTTATTCATGTTTAAATAACTAACTTGAAAGCATGGCTAATAAGACCTCTTGGGAAACAATTTAAGTTGAAAAACTTACACTATGTTTTGAGTGTGCATCACAGCCGATTTCGACACTAAAAACTGGACAAATGTACTTGCAAGTCTACAAGTTATACTTTTCTTCTTATGCGGTTTCACTTTCTGTGCTTTGATGCTCCGAAACAGGTCGTGGCTGTCTTTACACTTTTATTTTGAAGGCGGCAGCAACAAACTTCCTTATCTTATCTATGTTTTGTGTGTTTAGTGTTGCAGCTTGCTCAACAGAAGCAGTAGGTCGAGACCCTCATTTGGGGGAAGGGTGGGAGCGAATAGCAGAGTTCTCCCCCATCCCTCCCCCCTCCAGCCCCTGTCTGCAGCAACTTTCCACGGGTATCACCTCTGAAAAGACTCATTCAGTGTCTTTGATTCAGTGTGGCTTTAAGTGACAAATCATCCTTAGTGATGTGGTTGCAACTGACAACCCTGAACTTCAATTGCATTTTCATTAAGGGACATAAAAGGTTACTTATCTGATGTATATAACAACATCAGAGCTGCTGGTTGTTTAATATTTAAGTCTTGATTTGAATTTTCAAATTAAAAGTGCAGGACTACAATATTGAGTGCTAAGGCAAGCCCCAACATGCCTTTGCCTGCATGCAACAAAGTGACAAATGAGAGCTGTGTACACAAGAAAGCAGCTTTTTTGTGTGTTTGAATTTTGTAATTTTCTTATTTAGACATGTAATAAACAAGTTCACACATTTTAAAACAAATGAGCATGGCAACAAAAAAAAAAATCAAAAAACTATATCAATAAGTGACACTAACACATTTAAAGTGTTCCATTGTTGCCACAAGGAGCAAATGTTCATCAGAGCAGCTCTCCCCGGGCTCACACGCCTAGTCCCAGCTAGAGTAGCGAACCTAAGAGGAGACACTCCCGACACACTGAAACAAATACTAACAAACTAAGAGACATAACCTTTCCCACAATATACCAAGACCTTAGTATCATCATGCCATGACAGTTCTCAGAATGCGCTCTAAAATAGTGAGTAAAAATCTCAACAATAACACTGGTATGATGGATAATACAACCACATCAAAACATTGTAGTACAATAGTTTAGAAATATCTATTTCATCTGTTTAATTATTCTACATGTTTTATAAGTTATTGTGTGTAGTTAGGTTGATCTATAGTTGTTCTGCTGGGAGTTTTGAATACTCTAAAGCTCTGCCTTTTTTTCCCCCCTCTTTTCTTGTTTTTTTTTTTTCCTTTTTTGCTACGTCAGTTAAATAAAGTCCATCACACTGCAAGACATCACTCATACAGCTTGTAAAAGTGCAAGTCCACAACTCATTTTCCCCCATTGTACAAGCACAACGCTGCATCCAAAGGGTAGCTGCGGAGCAACATCAGCATCCTCTGGTTCTCCACTGGGATGCTGAACAGCACGTGAGTGAGCAAACTGCGCTTCCTGAGACTCGTATACATCTACTCGCAAGTGTCCGACTGCGGGGAAGAGCATCGGGCTTAAGTGTGGAGGTGAAGGAGAAGCTGAAGCAGAGATTAACAGGCGAACACAGGTGTCACTTACAGCTTTACCATCTACTGTGTTTAGCTGACAATGTCCCAGTGACACACAGGATCAACCTGGTTTGGAACAGATCTTAAAGAAAATAAAAGCACAGCAAATAAAAGCTTCAAACTGACGATGTGCATCTTGTAAGGCAGCATGCTGAGTGTACATCGGTCTGTGGGTTCATGTGATCGGCGTGATCCAAAAGGAAGTCAGTGACTCAGGACAGGATTTGTTTACTTTATGTAGCCACGATGTGAAAAACAAAAACAAAAAAAACAGCAAAGATTCACGCCGACTTTAATCTGGAAGAAGCCTGCGTAATTCTACATGCTGCATTAAGTGATTTTTTTAATAGCTAGAGGGCAAAAATATATCAACTCAATGAATCAGAGCACAGATTCTATTGATTTTAGCTCTGTCAGTAGTTTATTCATCTTGCAGATGTATACTAAGCAGCGAAGGCCTTTCCTTGGATTGGTAAATTTGAGCAACAAGAGTCCAATTTGTATTCGTCTCATAGCCCAGATATGGTCTGCTGCTACCAATCACTGTGACAATAGGTGGTTGGTGTAGGCATCATTTATGTAAAGGTCATAAAAATACAAACATAAAAGCTATATGATGTTGCAGAACTGATAAATATCTGTAGTCAGTTTTGTCAGTTTTCCACATGAAAGTCTAGCTCACAATTGAACATGAGGTTGCTGTCTGGGCAGAATACATGATGCCTGCTGACTTGTGGTGAACTGACCCAAAAAAAATGACCTGCACTGTTCTTACACTGGGAGCAATAATACATAACATGGATTTTGTACTAGGAAGCTGGCATTTAAAGGCTGCTTTATGCGCCATCAACCTTCCTGGGAACTGGCATTACTAAGTAGAGGTTTGCAAGGTAACATAGAACAAAATTGGCAGCTGGGGTACATGTATGCTAAAATTACTTAGTAGTGTGTTTATATATAAAAAGATCACTTAATACAAGTTCAGGCTTGTGGTAGCTACTGCCTGAATTGAATGACACAAAGACCAGCTGATTGCATTTGAAAGTTAGTGAAGGGTGACTAATTAAAGGACAAAGAAAGCCATAATAAACTTTTTTTTTATGATCACATGTCTAGAACAGCTTCAGTGCACCTGGGCAGAATTCTCCAAGGTATTTGCTCCCTTGGTTATTTGAAAATGGTGAAATCTCCTATATACATGTTCAGAAAATTTCAGGCATGGTGATTGTGAAGGTCACAGAATATGATTCTGATCATTTTCATAACAAATTAATTCAGTGCTCTACAATGGAGGCACTCATGCCAGAAGAGTACGCTCCCATCAGAGAAATGGTTCATCACAAGATAAAGGTGACATCTTTGCACTTGTTCTCCCTGACCTTTTCTTCTAATCAGACAACTGCACCCAAACCATGTCAGCCAGATGTAACAGAGCCAACACTGTCCTCGCTGTAACCGTCAGTGGGACAGATTCGATTCTATTCTATTGCTGACTGTGGCACAAACTTAAAGACAGGATTTTCCTTCATACTGTGTCTTCCTGCCAGGGGATATAATGGACTTTCAGTAACCAATGGGCTTCAATCACTATGCAAAAACAACAAAAACAACAACAAAAAAAACAACAAAAAGTGGCAGAGGGAGTGCCACCACTGTGCTGTGTTTAAAAAAGAAAATCATTACAGCAGAGGCAGTCTAACAGGGGAAGTTTAAGAGTATCAAGATCAGGTTAAAGGTTCAGTGTGGGGACACTGATGTTCGGGTTTATAACAGGTAGGTAACGAGTTCAGGCAGAGGCAGAATATTCCACACGGGGAAAGAAAAAGTCCCTCTGCCATCCACTGATGTTGATGATGATTATGAAGATGAAAGCAAGGACAGGGATCCACATTTCATAGGGAAAAAAGACAAATCATGGAGGTTAGGTGCACGTGGAGGAAAACCTAAAGCATGAGGATCCAGCACTCTATCCAAAACTTTGTTTCTCCTGTCAGTTCTGAAGAAGTTCCTCATCAGTCTGTGAGTAAATATTCCAGGAGCAAGCTTTTAGACAGTGTGCTGCTTACTTACAACTACACAAAAAATAATTCCAACCTACCAAGTAGACTACTAAAACCCTTCCAAGATTTAGCAAAAGTCGTATTGCTTTCTAAATGCACAAGTCCACTGCTGTAGAAAATCCGCTAACTGATCAAACTCGCCAAATCTGATGTGTCCTTGCAGCAAAAAAAAATCCAAAAAAAAAAAAAAAAATTAAAAAAAAAAAAAAACAAACAGGAGAAAAAGAAAAGTTTTATTCATTATCGTGCAGCTCTAATGTAGAGGCAGGATACTCCTCTAGTGACTTGTGGACTTGCAGATGAGACGTTAATGGAGGCGGGGTGGAGGGAAAGGTTTCAAGGAGGCTGACTCAGTGAGACTCTCCGTTGACCGAGCTCCCCTCTCCTCTGGGTGAGGAAGAGCGGGAAAGGCCCTTCTCTGTGTTTTCTGAGCTAGAGCCGTTCTGGCTGTGGTGGTCGGCCGATGACACGGAGCTGGAGGAAGTGGCCGAGGTGGCTGAGGGCTTGGCCTTCTCCTTAAAGTCCGTTATGATGACTGTCAGGTCCCCAACCGTCACCTCCAAGTGCTGGGCGCTGCTGCGATCGATGTTTTTTAGTCTTGGCCTGATGAGTGAGTGGAAAAGACCATTAAGCATACAAGGCTATTTTTAAAAATCCTGCATAAAGAGAGTCTTCCTGGTGCTGCTTTGAAATATACTCCTGGTGTCTCCCACTTCCCACTTCCTGAAATTCTTTATGAAACATGACAGCCTAACTCCAGGTGGCAACATAAACAGTTTTTGCACTTTTCCATGTTTATTCATGAATCCCTCTAATATCTGACTCTGCCAACCTGGCATCAGCTCGCTTACCTCATCTTCTTGTGGCTGTTCTTCTTAAGCGGCGGCTCTCTGTCGCTCTTCTCCTTCTCGACTCTCTCCTTCTTTTCCTTTTTGGGCTGTGAGGGCAGCACAAACTGCTGCGTTACCTGCTGCTGAGAAACTAGCTGGGATACGGGACGTGGCTTCCTGATCCAGGAGGGAGGAGTGTCGAAAAGGGGATGAAGGGAAAAAGACGGAGAGGGAGAGACAAAGGGAGAGACGGAGAGAGGCAGATTAATGAGAGGGAAAAGCACAATGAACACATGGCTTTGTGCTAGCCTACCACTATAATCAAGAGCCAATGATCACTGCCAGTGCTGGTTAGGATGGTGCTGCTCAAGTGCTCTTAACACTGGCAACACATGCTGAGTGCATTTAAAATAAAACCCGGAGTTCAGCCATCTGTGAGATGTGGAGTGTACCTGTGCAGGCTTGTTTTTAGCACTCACAAGACAAGATCAGTTGTGGTAAATACACAGGTGCAGTAGGAATTAGAAGTGTGCAAAACATACTGAATATAAAATATTTAGCAGATTAATCATCTGCGGAAATAATAGTTAGGCTTACTTTTGAATGTCACTGCAACTAACTGACTACAACATGGTAAATGGTAAATGGCCTGTATTTGTATAGCGCTTTACTTAGTCCCTAAGGATCCCAAAGCGCTTTACACTACATTCAGTCATCCACCCAGTCACACACTGGTGATGGCAAGCAACATTGTAGCCACAGCTACAATGTAAAATCCTGCTTTGATATTAATGGGTGTGTTCGCCACACATTCTTTACTCAGGTAGGCGTCTGTAAGACAGAATGACACCATCCATGATCCCCCCGCTCTTATGTTGAACATGCAGTCATTGTTAACCAGTAATCGCTTTAAATGCTTTATGTACACTGCAGTGATGATACTTGTCTGTGCACGGCATTAGCTGCGATGATGTGAATACGCCCTCCATGTCTGCTCGAGTACAATTATGCTTTTCATTGTGGCCTTTCAAGAACTGGGCACCATTTTTTGGGACTTAAAATAGAATAACTTAACTGTAGTTTGTTCTCGATGCAAAGCAAGTGCCGAGTTGTTGATGTGAGGGGATGTTCCTGAGAAGCATGGATAATATACCTTCACACACAGGTTCCACAAATCGCTGAAGACAGAGCCAATGTGATATTAAATGGTCCTCCTCACATTCATACCTCCATCTTTCATGAGGGTGTAATGTCTCAGAAATAATGTATTATGCAACTGGTTGGCTACAGGAGCATGCATTAGGACTGTGATCGTATTTCTGAGCAGGACTCTGTATGTGTTTGTATTTTGGAGCTTGCCAAGAGCCCTAGCCTGAGAGGGAAGTGTGCTGAAAAGGCCATCTGTTGGGGCGGTCTACACATCTAGTGCCTTTATTAATTGCATGCACACACAAATGAATTACACACAGTATGAATGCATGCATGTCCATACACTACACTGCATGTTGTATAGAAAACAAAAGCGATTCTAGAAGAAAATGTATGTTTGCTTTTATATACAGTGCAACACCATCCAGTGATGTACATTAAAGCATAGCATGTATAATTACATTTTTAACATTAAACCCTAAGCAGAACAATAGCTACAGATTGGTAACATGCAATATTTGTTGTAATGACTGATGCTGGCTTATTGGACTATATGATGTCAAGTGTGTTAGTGGTTGAGGTTTCATTTATTCAATTTTGCACAGGTAATTGTGTATTTGAAGATATTTTGTTGTATCTATGAATACTTCTGAAATAAAGTAGATTTGGTAGAATTTATCATGAGTCACAAGGATTAGCTCCGGTGGCTGTGTCAGAGCCAGCACGTGATGTTGCCTGTAGTATTTCAGGGGTGACTTGTCAGTGCCGCTGCTCCCCTGCATTGCTGTGGGCCGTTTCATCACCTTCACAGCATTCACCTACAGGCTCCAGAGAGTATTTACTTATTGCTCTCCGATTCTATATGTCACAGATTTGTGGTTAGTAGCACTGGAAAGTTGAAAATGCTGATTACCTTATGGTATTTTTCTCATGTGGACGAACCTGTGCCTTATTACATTTAAGATGTGCTGCAATTACAAAATATTAGCTTCATGAAATTTCATTTTAAAAAAAGAAAAGAAAAACAAAGATTTCCATTAGAACTTCTAATACAACTTTACGGTGTCTTTCAAGTGTATGACACCTGATCCCAGATTAGTTTGACCACTGTGACTTGTTGTGCAGAAAATAGTTCCACATTTTTTCCAAAGTGAGCCCTGGTGGCCCATTTAGCCTCAGTTAAAGGTTTTTCTACCTCAAATTCCACATGGATATACATACACAGAAGCTCCTGTCTTTTTCTGAGGGCAAAGATGTTGTTGAGCAATTCTGGGATGACCTAAATTGGGGCCAAGCTTCAAAGACTCTCTCCCACAGACATTTTTTTTTAAACTTAGCTTTCACTGCCTTCACATAACTTGCAGTGATGCTAGCAAGTCTAAAGTAAAATGCAAATGGGTCTCTTGGCCTACATAACTGTCTAATAGGGAGGAGATGTAGAGATTCTCTAATATGTCTGTCTTGTCAGCAAGATGCTGCAGAAGTGCTGACTCCTTTTTAAATAAAGACAAAGGCCTCTCAGAGTCCTCTGTTCCTAGTTCGAGTAATTTGCTGCTCTCCTTGACATCTTTTTGTTTAATAGTCCTACAGCAACTAAACAGCATCTGGTGGTCTGAATGTACACACATACACACAAAACAGCAACGGTCACAAAAGGATCAGCTGTCCCGCCCTCAGGACAAACGTTATCAGCTTCCAGAACTAAAAACTCATCTGCCTGCGTCATTCATAACATCCTTAGGCTTTTGTTTGATGAATTTAGTTTAGAACGTCATTGTGCACTTTGTGTGATTTACTGTATGCAAGTAATTAATTCCTCCTCTCATTAATGCAGTGAGTGAGTGATGGTTTTGCTTGAAATGTAATCTCCCCTCAGCCTAAAATGTTTTAGATTGAAAGCCTGGATGTGCCAGAGAGCAAGTGAGGCCACGTCTAAATACATACAGCCAACCTCCCTCCATGTATTACAGTGGAGTTGATTCTCACTAATAGAACCAGCTCAATAACCAGGAGGTGAAAGAGGAGATAGACAACCCAATATTATGGGGAGGCAAAGCGGCAGGTCTAAACAGAGCTGCCTCTGTTAACCCAATCAAATGGTGTTTATCTCTGCACTTAGGCCCTCACTGCTAGCCTCCCTTTGGGCACCGAGTGTGGGTTTGTGTATGTGTGTGTATTGATTCCAAAATAATTTCTGTCCCGAACGTAACGGTCTATTCTTTCAGACATTAATACTGCGTGTTGGAACCTCTGTTCCTGTCGATATCTGCTTCACTCATTCTGCTACAGCTAATGGAGTCCCACAATGGGAAATTAGGACATTACAGGGGGAGGCTTAAACATAGCAAATTGTATTTCCTTCAAAGAGGAGAGTACAGCAAACACACAAAGCCTTGGTTTCAATTCACAGAAAGTGATCAGCCAGTTTATTGTTACATTTATTATCTTTGCCTTCACTTGTTCTTTTTCACAGGTTCTCCTTCTGCAATGTTTTATTTGTAGAACATGAGTGCAACACTATGTTAAACAAATGACCAATAGGGGGTCAACTTGAACTAATACTATTACTAATAACTAATAATAATATTTTATACTCAGATAAGCAATGATTAAAAACAGTTCCAAACCTAATTTGTTCCTACTTTACTGGTTGGTACTTATTAGCATGTATGTGGGATTCACAATTAAAATTTATAGACATAGCCTAACCTAGCTTTCTAAGGCCTCGGTCATCCTGTCCTATAGTGGGCTAGAGTCAGCAACCCCCTGGCAAGTGCTGGTTGCTAAGGAAAATGTATATTCCACAACTAGTTAACGAGTGGCTGCTGACTGACACTGGGTGAAAACAGATTACTGTGGTATGCAAACACTGAAACTTGAAAAAGCGCATCACAAAACAGAAATGTGTAACATTAATTTGCCTTCGAGGAATAACTTGGTCATTACTATTGCAACCAACATGTTTCAAAAGGCACAAGTTTTCCCTTAAAGGTTCCCGTTTCCAGTTTGCATTGCACTTTACTTGGTAAGTAGTTGGCGAGTGTTTGCAGACGAGTCGGCATCTTCGATACAAACTATGGAAAACCGTGGCAACCTGCTAACAACCGAAGCAATCACAACGAGGTCTTTGTAACCAATTTCAAAACCTAAAGAAACCACTTGCCAAACGGTCCCATAATACACACTTTTCTCTAGTGATAGTTTCCAGGGGGGTCGCTGACTGGTTTCCAAGCCTGTGTGACTGGAGCTTTAGTAATCGATTTAACACCGGCTAGGAGCAATGTCCAACAACACTCACAAGTAGTCCAGGAATACACATTTTTCCCCTCACGACTGGTGACTGACAGATGGTTCCTAAGCGGTCTCTACGTCTGTGTGACTAAGGCCTTATTCAATCACAGCCAGGAAAGTCTGAAACTTCAAGAAGCCAAGTTTCCTTGAGAAAGACTTTGAATCTTCCAGTTAACAAAATCATTCTTTTGACAGCCAAGAAGGCTAGTCCTGCCATCTTTATGTCCTTTTTCAGTGTAACTGTGCAGTCTTTACTAACACTAACACAATAACAACAACAGGACAAAAGAGAGAGAGATGTATAGTCATCCATTCTGTAAGTCGATAAAACATTTCTGGGCAAAAGGACTTGACTTCACGGCGATGTCACAGCACACAATCCACAACAATGCCAGCGCAGATCTGAAAAGCTTTTTTTTTTTGTAAGGGTAACACAAGTTCTAACTTTTTCAACTCGTTAAGGCGGTTTTAAAAGAAAAAAAGAAAGAAATATCTGCAGATGAATGTACTGTATTGTAGTTTATGTTGTTGTGTTTCTTGTTGATACAGCTGTTCTTTTTCTTTTTTGGCCTCTCTTGTGTGAAACAAAATAAACACAAACCTCGCTCTCAATCTCACAACCTTAAAGTTTAATTGTGAACTGAAGGCAAAGTTAGTTTATTCTGCAGAAACTGAGCTGAAAAAAAAATGTTGCCACTGATCCCTTATGCTTACTTCAGTGACAAGGGAACTCTAGC